ACTCTCTTCCATGCACGATTCTGCAGTTTAGTCCATCATATGAATTCCGTATGATATTGACTATCTTCTGAGGCACTCCGTAGTATCAAAGAAGCTTCCATAGTGTTGTTCTGTCCACGCTGTCAAATGCTTTCTCGTAGTCAATGAAGTTGATGTAGAGTGATGAATTCCACTCAATTGATTGTTCCACAATGATCCGTAGAGTTGCGATTTCGTCTGTACACGATCTATCCTCACGGAATTTTGCCTGTTGGTCTCGAAGTTGGGCATGTACGGAGTCCGCGACAAAAATACCTTTCGAGAAAACCTTGGATTTGCAACGTTGCAGCCCGTCTTTTGCCAGTTTGATCACAAGATTTTCGACTAAATCTGTGGCAGGCTCCTTCGGTCGCATTTAGAGTGCGGAAATATAGTGCTTTCTTCACCAATCCAAAAGGATAATAATGCGCTTGAACGAATTTGAGGACAAGCTACGAAATTACTTCGTGGTTTTAAGTTAAATTCCTATGCAGACTGCCGCAATCCATTAAAGTAAAATAATACTAGAAAAGACTCTCTAATGATTTAAGCATTCCAAACACTTCCGGTATAATGTCTGGGGGTGACACCCAAAAATTAGATAAAAATTATCGAAATGGAAGGTAGGCACAACTTCTATTACTCGCGAGTAGTCAAATGATGGGATTAATTGGTCCAAGTGACCTCATAGTAATCCTTTCAAAAAGGAACGTGGTATACTCTTAATGATTAAGGACAATATTTCATTATAATTTACCAATATTTATCATAGTAAAATATACGTAAGTTCCTATCTATCAGCATCAGTGATCAACTGCTACTAGCGACTAAAGCTAGTTAACAAAAAGCTTCCTTTGTTTCATCTACAACTGTTGACAAGCAGTCTGTTTCAAGATCGTGATCAATTTGGAGTGTCTGTGGAATTACGGTCTATTACGATATTAGTACTGCTCTTATAATAGACATAGTCCTAAAAATGTACATTTGTCATGATGTAACTGACTAATCTATAAGATCTTACGTGGAAGTCACATTATCTACACCATTTCATCGTAACAATCATCAATATGTGAAGAAGAACACACTAAGCTAGAGATAGAACAATATATTTAATATGTGTAAAACATATGAGGTAACATTCAGCAGGGACAACGCCTGCAGGCCCAGGCCATGCCATCCGATCAACTCGAATTCATTCAATTCCTTTTTTCCGTCTCCCCCATCTTCGGGTTTTTCTCCACGCTAAATATTGAATATCTGTTTTCACAATTGTCTCGTGTTCAGCTTTAAGGATTGTGTATTCACAGCCCAATGCCACTATACGTCCACGGTTATATTCTGTTCTGTAATTTAAGAAAGATGGGAGAATTTCATGTAGAAACTTATCAATAATTAGTTGAACGATTGAATAAATCACCTGTGGTCCTACTATTTTGTAAACAGAGATGGTTTATTTTGGCCAATCTGTAATCATATGACAGCTTTACGGTTGAACTTAGCTGTAGTTCTTTGAACCTGTTCTTAAAGCTCCTTGCCAAGGCTGGTTGTCTGTATACGATGTACTGGTTTAGGTTGGACGAACACTTCGTGGAAAGTCATGAGGGTCTTAGTATCTACTTGGCTAACATTCATGTACATTAAACAGATCATTCGAGAAGTTTTGACAACTATGACTGTAAGATTGTAAGATTGCCACTACAAGATCTTTTTTGAAGGTTTTTGTATGTAAACATTAGTGATTTTTTTCCTTTTGATTCCTTCAGATGAACATTCTGTTGATCTATTCGATGTAATTTGCCATGGTGCCATTTGTACTTTGTTTCAGGTTTTGTTTTCTTTACGTGTTCAACGAATTTCCATGTTTTATTTCGAACTAAATTTATGTTCTTCTAGTTCATGCAGTCACGGCCGCAGCCATTTTGATTCTCATTCCTTTATGATTGTGCATTTTTTGATTGTGAATTAAAGCACTTCAATAATCGGGAAATCTCCGTGTTGGAATGAAATTAAACATTATCTTTCGAACGATCTGTACATGATCTATTCAGAAAGGATAGAGCAACATACATCTGTTCCATTCGATTTAACTACTGAGTGAACAGTTATCAGTTGCATAACTGGGTGGTAATATTTGTTTAGAACAGTCATTTACTCAGCCATCTTATTTTCGTTTAAATTGGGTGATAGAGTGTATCGAAACTAACCTACACAAATATTCATCAGTCAGAACTTAGCTGGTAAGTAAAAATACCATCGTATTGAGAAGAAGATTTCAGTCCTTAACTGGCAACGACCTTTACATCAGTATGTGTCTGAAGGACGGGTAACCCAACGCTATTCGCTTTGTATGTGCATGTGCCAGTATGACTGACAAACACTGTGATGTACTTGGAATAACGAATCATTAAATGCAAACTTCCAAATCATTCGCATAATTTCTGCAGGTTTTTTTAAAGTTTTAAACTATCACTTTCATTTTTTATCGCATTTCATATCATAATATGGTCACCATATAGTGAAACCTGTAATGACAGGAGATTAGAAAGGTTTTGGTGGAGTTTTGTTCTCTGAGCTGGATGGTTTGGTCGTGGAGCTTTCATCGTTCTTCTGAACGACATCATCAGCACAAACTTCAGATAGAAGTGAAGTGTTCGAATTCCTACACATGTGTTTCACAGCTTGTTCTGTGCACCTTGATGTTGATTGGTTCTTGTTGACCTTAGATTTAATATTGTTTACTTCTTTGTTTTGGTTGTGTCTCCCATTGGTTTGATTTTTGTTCCTATTGTAGCGGTAAATAAATCCCCAAAATAAATAGCTCTGTAAGTTTTCGACATTGGATGCTGACCATATGTTTTAGTGGACTCATCTAGCTGAAGGCGCTCGGTCAGGCATCCGCACCAGATCACGTGTGGTAACGCCGTGCTCAACATCAACCGCAATCGCTAGCCAGATTAGACCAGAGAATTCCGATATATTGGTCGTCGCCAAATATACTCTTCCGATCTCCTAGACTCTGTCTTTTGATTTCTCTGGGTGGGAACGAAATACATTAGAAGGTGTTACTGGTAGAAGCGTTGTCAAACACTGAATACCTGTGACATCATCACTATATTTATGCATGATTTTCCTGATTGGTTGATTTACCGTTACAACACATTTTCATCCTGACAACTTATTCTTTAGTAACGCTCAACAAGGAAAACTTTTGTAACGGTAAATGCTCGACAAAGTTCTGTAAGTTTCCGACATTCATGCTAACCTCAACAATGTTACTGAAGGAGTTTGGTCACGTTGTGCCACACATTCGTCACAACAACTAGTCAGCTTAGATTACATGTTTATCGGCATATTGACTATCTTACAGATATATCTTCCGACTTCTTCATTCCTGACTGCCGGTTTGACTGAGTTTGGAATCATCGATCATAAAGTTATTCGGAAGGAGCTGTTTAAGTATCTCGATAAAAACCGGATCCTCTCGGAGAAGCAGCATGGCTTCAGAATAGGTTATTCTTGTCTCACTAACTTATTAGTGGCTCGTGAAAGCTGGTGTGCTCTTAAGGACCATAAGCTACCTGTAGACGTCGCCTTCATTGATTTCAGTAAAGCTTTTGATAAAGTTCCGCACAACCGGCTGTTATATAAGTTAAGACATGTCGGGATTGGAGGTAATTTATTGATGTGGATAAAAGACTTCTTAGTTGGGCGTCAACAAAGAGTAAGGGTGAACTCAAAGTTATCTAGCTGGGAAACTGTGCTTAGTGGAGTGCCCCAGGGTACAGTTTTGGGGCCAGTGCTATTCCTCTTGTATGTAAATGACCTTCCTTGTCTCCTATCATCATCGGTCTTGCTATATGCTGACGATGTCAAGATATGGAGAACGATACGATGTAAGAGTGATAGCTTAGAACTTCAAAATGACCTGAAGAAGTTATCTGAATGGTCTCAAACATGGCAGTTGCCGATAAATACTTCCAAGTGTGTTGTGATGCATATCGGTTATCAAGGCACAGATACATACACGATGAATAACACTGAGCTACCTGTCATCCAGACATATAATGACTTAGGAGTTATCGTTAGTCAAGACTTAAAGACTACTGCACGCTGACGTGCAATAGCCCCCAAAGGTTCTAGAACTTTATGGTCAATACGTAGGGCCTTTAGTCATGTCGACACTAAGACGTTTTTGACTTTGTATACAGTGTTCGTTCGTCCTAAACTTGAGTACTGCATACAAGCGGCTAGCCCCTGCTTTAAAAAAGACAGTGAGCTTCTGGAAAAGGTTCAGAGAACGGCGACTAAGCTGGTTCCCGGAATAGCGAAGCTTCCGTATGAATCTCGACTGGCCAAGCTGAACCTTTTCCCGTTGTCATATCGCAGAGCTAGAGGCGACTTGATTACAGTCTACAAATTGCTTAGTGATAAATTTGCACCTAACATGCCCTCATTTTTCTTGTCTTCAAAAACAGAGAATTTACGAGGACACTCCAAAAAAGTTCATAAGCCGAGAACAAATTACTTGTCAGCTGACTATCGACTTTCCCATCGAATCATCAACGAGTGGAATTCACTACCTCAGCACGTGGTTGAGGCTCCATTTGTCGACTCTTTCAAAAGAAAGTTGGATCAACTGAGAGACCACCATTGCCAGGACTAACATAGGCCATCGAGCCTCCTGTCCTTCCCAAACTGAAACTGAAACTCTTTTTGTCGCTTTGGTGTGACTAAAGGTATTCGGTAACGTTTTCGGTGGCGCAGGAATATGAATCCAGAAAAAAAAGAGCACAACTGAGATTAAGTTTTCACGTTTAAGTTACTTGTTCACATCAACGTACGAATTACTAGAATTCTTTATCGGGACGCGAAATATATGTACCTCTGATTTGAACGCTAGTACCACCAATAAATCAAGAGATTTAACTTAAGTCGTTTGACCTTCTACTCTTGTTAATGAATACTGAAAGTTTTTCGCGGTTAGTATGTCTCTTACCTCTACTCCAATGATCCTCCGGTGCCTACACAAACGGTGTAGCTCATAATAATGAGTATGCTTCGAGTAAGTAACCTATTTATCTTGTTCTGTGTCCGGTTTAAAACCACAAGGACGACATTCTTAACCAGAAGTGTCATCGCAGAAAATCTGTGTTGTAATCTCAGCCCAATCAAACAAAAAAGGAAATGAAGACAAACTTTAGGGAAAGATAGGTGATCATGTGTCAGTAGTTTAAATAACTTATTTTCGTAAGTTGGAGATGATTTTTTGGGGAAATAATGCAACCCAATCTCTTTATTTCGGGGAAAATTTTGTCCGTTTCGTGTAAACTTTTGGGGAAGCCGCAATATAAAACTTTGGATAAATAGCACAAAACCCAAAAATTTCCCCAGGGTAGAGGAAAATCCTCAAAATGTTTGGGGAACTTTAGGGTTTTCTGGAATATTTCCCCAGAATCCTATAACTGGGGGTTTTCCCTAAAATTTCCTCAAACTATGGAAAACTATCAAACCTTTCACAACTTTGGGGAGAGCCCCAAAATTTGTCCGAAATTCCCCATATTTTCCTCGAAATAGGGAGATTGAGAATTCCGAGGAAATAAAATGGTGATCCAAGTTGTATTTTTCTTTGTTTGCTCGGGAAGCATTCTTTATTTTCCAAGATGTTGCTGTTTTCTTCCAAAAATCAAAACATCTTTCCATAAACCCACCTATATTTATATGGGAGGTTTGGGGGAATATTCTCCCTAGATTCTCCACGTCAATGGATTTTCTCCCAACCGTATCACCCTCCAAATTATTATAATAAAGTAATAGAGACTTCCCCTTAGGACTGACGATCAGAAAAAAAACATTGTTTGAAGGTTTGAAAGTTCAGATCAAATCGTTTGCGACTTGTATTCCACTTTTCTCACTGAGTAGTAAATTACTGGAATTCCCTACCAAACTGCACAACATCGACACCTGTTGATGCATTCAAAATGAGGTCAATCTCCATAGTACTACAGGTCACAAAAATCGACATCAGCCACTCGATCTATCTTTACATCTGAAGTCTCTCAAAAGTATGTTTACTTGCAGGAGTTTGTAATTATGACAAAATTCTGTACAAAACAATGGAGAACCGAAGTAAGCCATTTGTCAACATAATTCCCAGTAGTAATTAGTATCGATCAACGGAGTTCTGTAGTTTAGTTTGTTCAAACAATTGATATCCCACAGTATCAAGCCTATTAAGTGAATAGTAACAAAGTTTGCTAGGTGTAATGAGTGTGTATCGTAAAGGCTTCTATTTCCTAAAGCTGGTTTTAGTTGAGGACTCATCATAACATTCAAAAACCACTAAGCCATTCTAGAGTATGTCTAATATCGTTTGTGATCGTTATTCGTAAACTTGCATCCTCGTTTTTCTTCAGGTTTCGCACTTGTTCACTTTAACATGTGCTGTTGGAAGAGCCCGTAGTGGTTATACCTATATCCTTGTTTAAATTCTCCTTACACAAGTGAAAGCTCTACACTTTGAGCTTCAAAGAGGCTATGCAGTTGCATTTATGAGTTGTATGATTTCTGTTCATCTTGATGAACTATGGTGTTTACTGTTTTTTTCTGGTGCAGTAGTTTGGAAGAAAACTTGGAGTGGCCAAATCAAAACATAGTATCCGTCCAAGAAATCACTGACAATCGAACTTAAACATGTCAATAGGTATAGGCTACCTGGTTGGGTCTGCGTGGTTATCGTAACCAATGGTCAGAGACTTCGAGTGACATGGCTCAAAATATTATGCCATGGTGCAAGTGCATCTATTCTCTGTCTTTCCCCAAACTCAGATTCTAAATTCCTCACAACCTTTATTTATTTTCATTTCATTAATTTATATTTCCTTGATTCATATCGTCGATGCCTAATCCTTACTATTACCACAGCCCCCGAATGGCCTGGTAAGGACGAGAGTAGTGAGAGTCAGTTCTCTCTCTCGAAATGCTCTCACATGACCACGTGCATACAACTACTGCCAGGGAAGTCCTACTCTGCCTTCTCGTGGCTGGGCTGTTGCTCACAAAATTGAAAGGACGAAAAGCGAATATCCAGCTCTTTAACCGGATTGGTGGACACGGAGAGTTCACCTAGGGGAGTTGGAAAACCCTGATTCCAAACCAATGGTGCACATGGGCTCCAGTATCCTGAAGGAACAAATGGCGTATGAACCTATTGTTGATCACTGGCTACCATGGGATTGCATCTCCTGACATTGCTCCACTGCCTTGTGAATCAGACCGTTAGGTCGAAGGCTCCGGGTGTGGCCCCCTAAGAGAACCATCCGCTTCGGTTTGGGCACCCAAGCAGTATCACAGCCCTCGCACAAACCAAATGAGATATTTATTTGGCGCATATGTATTTGGTGTTTCCTTGTACCAATATCCATGTGTTCAAATCATAACAATACTGTCAAATCATATAACTGAGTGTTTCGTAAACTCTCTGCTAACCTATCTTTAGTTAACATCTTGTGGTTTTTTGTTACGTTATTTTGAAATTTACAAAACCATATACGCAGAAGTTCTTAAGTGTCGAGTATTTCTAACAATGGTAGTGAAGGTTATATACTTTGTTTCTATTCTGTAGATAGGTATTTTAACCGTCCTATTAATCACTGATGCGGTAAACACATTACGTCTTAAAGGGAAATGGAATCCATCCAACAGATATTTGTTTTTGACAAAGTTTGGCTTTCAACGGACTCAAATTGATGAACTTGAGGCCACAAGGGGTTATATTTATGGGACAGTGAAGCTGGAAAACGTGTCAAATAGTGAGTTACACGATTTGTTAGTTGGTTCTTTTTGTATTTTTTGTATTGTTTTTTAAGAAAAGTATTTTCCATAATTATCGACAGTTCATCATATTTGTGCGAGGGCTGTGGTACTGCCCGGGTGCCCAGACCGAGGCTGGTGGTTCTCTTAGGGGGCCACACCCGGAGCCTTTGACCTAAAGGTCTGATCCACAAGGCAGTAGAGCAACGTCGGGAGATGCAATCCCATGGTAGCCAGTGACCAACAAAAGGTTCATACGCCATTTGTTCCTTCAGGATACTGGAGCCCATGTTCACCATTGGTTTGGGATCCGGTTAAAGCGCCGGATATTCGCTTTCCGTCCTCTCATTTTCGTAAACAACACCCCCGCCACGAGAAGGCAGTGAGTATGACTTCCCTGGCAGAGGCTGTATACGCGTGGCCGTGTGTAAGCATTACGAGAGGGAGAGAGGGCCCACCCCACCAGGGCATTTGGGGGCTGCAATATGGAAGTGTCCGTAGGTATGGTATGTGCTTTGCACCTTCGAAGTGCAAAGTACTTCTACAAGACTGACAGGATTCTAATCCTGTACTCATCCTGGATGGTGAGCAGATAGAAGTAGTCGAGAAGTTCGTGTATCTAGGTAGCTGCATAAGTGCTGGTGGTGGTGTGAGCGATGAGATCAATGCACGTATAGTGGAAGCCAGAGCGGCTTATGCCAATCTGGGTCATCTTTGGCGCCTTCGTGATGTCAGTCTGGCTGTAAAAGGTCGGATCTACAACGCGTCGGTGAGAGCAGTTCTGCTCTATGCTTGTGAAACCTGGTGTCTCCGAGTTGAGGATGTTAGACGACTTTCTGTGTTCGATCATCGCTGTCATTGCTGACATCCAGTGGCAACACCATGTTGGATGGATTGGCTCCAGAGGTCTTTAAGGATGGTGGTCCAATTTTAGCGATTAGGTTGACTAATATTTTAGCTAGGATCTGGGAGTTAGACGTTATTCCATCTAACTGGTCACAATCACTTATCGTCCCAATATATAATAAAGGGTCAAAATCATCCTGTGACAACCACAGAGGGATTAGTTTAACTAATATAATATATAAAATACTAGCCTCGATAATTATCAGACGCCTAACTAAGACTCGTGAACTGCAAACACGAGAGAACCAAGCTGGCTTTAGACCTGGTCGTGGCTGCATCGACCACATATTCACCATTCGTCAGATTCTAGAACACAGGCATACTTATCGGCGTCCGACAATGGTGGTCTTTCTTGACTTAAAAGCAGCGTTTGACTCTGTAGACCGCGAGACTCTGTGGCAGTGTCTGTCATTGAAAGGCGTACCCCAGAAGTACATAAACCTTGTAAAGGCTCTTTACTCGAACACTACTAGTCGAGTCAGAGCTTATGGCGAACTGTCATCTACTTTTGCAACCTCAAGTGGTGTCCGTCAAGGCTGTCCACTTTCCCCATTTTTGTTGAACTTCATCATAGATCTACTGATGGAAATAACTTTCTCGTCGACTGAGTTCTCGGGTATTGATCTCCTACCAGGAGGTCCACTTATCGACTTAGAATACGCAGATGACATAGTCCTGTTTGGTGAAGACGCTGATAAAATGCAGAGTCTTCTGGTAGCACTAAGCAACAATGCCAGAATGTTTGGGATGCGCTTCTCTCCCTCTAAATGCAAGTTGTTGCTTCAGGACTGGTCTGCGTCAACACCCGAACTAAGGATAGGGAGTGAAGTAGTCGAACGCGTTGACAACTTCACTTATCTTGGAAGTCTGATCAGCCCTAATGGGTTGGTGTCTGACGAAATCTCAGCACGGATTCGAAAAGCTCGATTGGCTTTTGCCAACTTACGTCACCTATGGCGAAGGCGAGATATCCGTCTATCAATAAAAGGACGAGTATACTGCGCGGCAGTCCGTTCTGTTTTAATTTACGGCAGCGAAACATGGCCATTAAGAGTAGAAGACACTCGTAAGCTATTAGTATTTGACCACAGATGCCTTAGAAATATTGCTGGCGTCTGCTGGGATCACCGGGTAAGTAATAGTGAGGTTAGACGCAGGGTATTAGGGAATGATGGTAAATCAGTTGATGAGGTTATGAATCTTCATCGACTGAGATGGTTGGGCCACGTGTTACGTATGCCTGAACACCGATTACCACGACGTGCAATGCTATCCGGTATTGGAAATGGTTGGAAGAAAGTTAGGGGCGGCCAAACCAAAACGTGGCATCAGTGCTTGAAGTCACTAACTACTAGTCTGAGCCATGTTGGTAGATGCAGACTACTTGGTTGGGGTCCGCGTGACTATCGTAACCAATGGTTGGAGACTCTTGGTGACATGGCTCAGAATCGATCACAATGGCGTCGGTGTATACACTCCCTGTCTTCCCTTAAACTAAGAGATTAAAATCGCTTCATATCTTTCTTTCTACGAACCAATTCTTTCTTCTTGTACTATATCTCTATATGCAATCTTTCTCCTACATATTACTACCTTTGACCTAACCACTGCTATGAATCCGGTGTTCATCTTGTTGTGCTGATGCGGTATGGCAACCTGGACCGATGCACATATGTGCCTGGTCCTACGTTGTAGCTGACTGACTGACTGACCATGTTAGTAATGCAGAGGTTCGGGATCGTGTGTTCGGTCACAGAGACGAAAATGCAATTTGTGTCACCATCTTGAAACACCGACTTCGGTGGCTTGGACATGTTCTACGAATGTCGTCCCAGAGAATTCCACGTCGTGCATCATTTGTTGATACTGGGACTGGTTGGAGGAGGTGGAGAGGTGGTCAGTGTATGACATGGTGTCGTGGTATGAAAGAAAGCTGTGAGGGACTGGCTTCTGTTGGTCCTTCACGACTCTATGGTTGGGGTCCTAGAGATGGTGCAACACAGTGGCTAGAAACGTTATCAGATATTGCTCAGAATAGAAACCAGTGGCGATCCTTTTGTAGCCTCCTTTTACTTTCTTCATAAAAAGTGGTTGCTTCTTCCTTAACTGAAAGATTTCTTCTGATTGTACGTTTCTGTTTCCCCCATAATAATAATAATAATAATAATAATAATAATAATAATAATAATAATAATAATAATAATAATAATAATAATAAAAAATAATAATAATAATAAATAAATAATAATAATAATAATAATAATACGCCATTTGTTCCTTCAGGATACTGGAGCCCATGTGCACCATTGGTTTGGAATCAGGGTTTTCCAACTCCCCTAGGTGAACTCTCCGTGTCCACCAATCCGGTTAAAGAGCTGGATATTCGCTTTTCGTCCTTTCAATTTTGTGAGCAACAGCCCAGCCACGAGAAGGCAGAGTAGGACTTCCCTGGCAGTAGTTGTATGCACGTGGTCATGTGAGAGCATTTCGAGAGAGAGAACTGACTCTCACTACTCTCGTCTTTACCAGGGCATTTAGAATAGTCGGTTGTCATTCAGTGCCTAACCGGGGCTTGTAAATGACGAATTTAGGATAATTAATGAATTCCGGTCCTAATGTAGTGAATGAAAACTCATGTACCGTAAACCAATATGTATATTGCTTTATGCAAAATCAAACTGCTTTGGTAAAATTCCAAGATCATGCATTAAATATATCATCAAGTTGTCCCTCACATATTCCACTATTCTTCCAATCATGTTGCTCTTCCGATTACTCTGTTTTCTTCCCTCTTCTCTTTATGTCAACCTTCTGCTGGTAAGTATTCCACTTCCAATTCCCACTACATACTAATTATGTTTGTTTGCATAAGTAGCCGACACCACACTAATAATGTGTATAGGAATTTTGGACATAGGTATATCTTAGTTCCCTATCATTTTGTACTTTTTGACCTTCAAATGAAAATTAATTATGTAGATCCACAATTTAGTAATGCAGTTGTCGATAAGAGCTCTTTCCCAAGACTCCTGGTCACTTAGAAATGTTATGAAAGTTTCCATCTAAGATGGTCATGGCGAATAGTGTTTATAATACACTCATGCTTTTTATTTCGATGTTTTCTAGGAAACACTGAACAGAAGAGTAAAAAACTTAACTAATATTTCCAATTCACATTTTTGTTAATTTAAGTATTAGCTTTAACTAATCATTCTGTAACCCGTGAAACTTGGAAATCGCATGAAATAGATGTTTATTTTATTTTACTTTGTCTTACAGCACATAATTTGACAGACCTTGCTACATTGGTTTTGGTTGACGGTGAGTTCATTATGGATCTTTATGGAAACGCCACAGAATCAATATGGACACAAAATGTAACTGGTACGACATATCAGGAAAGTCAGTGGCTCATGGAAACTGAACGTTGCAACAAAATGTTTGATAAAATCAACTCTCTTGCTTGGCACAAGACGTGTTCCCCCACAGGAGAAATGGATTTACTTCGATCCGTACCCTGTTCTTCATCTGGGCTTTGCGCGGAGGAGGATGATCCTGAAAGTGTAGTACCGAATTCACAATTTACTTTTATTGTGCAAGACCTTCGGCAACCACGGTTTGTATAAATGTCGTGTATTTTTTTCTGAAATTCAATCAATCTAATTTTGTTTCGATTGTACTTAAAATCAAACAACTGGTTCATTGTTTATTGTATTTTATTGGAAGTGATAATTTAGAAATCCTGTAATGTTATTGTATGAAAAGGTAGTCACAATTAAATACTTTGGATATTGTTTAAGTATTAGATGTACCAAAGACCTGTGCAGTTGCTGCCATTTTAATGTGCCTAGTATTTTATTTTGTTATTCTGTCAATTTTCACGTTATCGAGTAAGAAATTGTAACCAGTTAAACTGGAGAAAACGTGCTTCATCTTACCAACTTTTCTCATCTAACTCATAAAAATCATAGGTAATATATTGCTAATAAAACCTTATAGTACAAAATGACTAAATTATTGTTATTTGTTTATGGATTTTTTCTGTTTCACATTTCATTGTCAATCCCACTGCGTACATATATATGTCCGCGTTACATCCGTACCATTGAATAAATCGGTGGCGGTGACTTAGTAGTTCGGATTTTTGACTTTCAGTCACTAAGTTCCAGGTTCGGACTTCGTTCCACTTGTTTCGATTTGGGCAACCAGGGAGTTTCACTAACCTTCATACTTGAAGTGTGGCTCATACTCAAGCACCTGGAGAATGAGTCGATTTAATTAATTACATGAATGTATGTAAACAAACTTCACTCAACCATTTGTTGTGTATAATTCCTATTTTGATTATTTTGAAAGATATAGCTCAGATATGTACATGTGCATTCCTCAAATAAATGGGATGATTTTTTATATGCAGCTAAAGTTATGGGTAGTTTCAGGTAGAAACTCATATTTTTGATTGTTCATCTTAGGTGAGGGATTTTCGCGGTCTGAATCACTGTCAGTATAGAAACCGATCTACAATGTCTAATGTTTTCGCCATTTAGCATGTTGATGAATCCCAACAAGCCAAAAGCTTAGTCCTAAAGCTTTCACCGGCTGGCATCAATTACGCAACATGAAACCAACTGCATCACAATACATACTCACTTATTGACCACATTACAAACTTTGTGTAATTCGACCAGTACTAGTAACTAGTCACTATGCAGTAACTGATTATCGTTCACTGATTTTCTTCTGTTTTTGAACGTTCTGTTTGTTGCTTTTAATTTCCTGTGTTTACCTGTTTCCGTCGTCCTTGTATTCTTCATCACCCTTAGTACTATTATTTGTTTTTTGAATTTTCTTTGGATTTCGATATCAATTAGCGAACATTTCATTACGCTTGAACTTGTTCTTATGTTGTCTTTTACCTACATTTGTTCTAAAACATGAGGAAATCTTAAAAATGATTTCAAAGTACTCGTGAATTGGACAGCGTTGTGACGTTCGGTCTCGAAATTCGATACTGATACGTTATCTTCCTATACACGAGTCCAACTGACTTCTTGAGTGAAAAGACTGGTAGTGAGAAGGAAGCTTATTGAATAAGTCTAAACGAGAATGTACGTACTCATATATATATATATATCGTATAGATACAACCCATTCCTTGACCAATCACGTTCACTTATCATTTGGTTGGTTTTTGATTGACCAAATGTGTCAGATAGATTGAATAAAAAAGTTTCATACACCAAAGTAAACGGAAATTTTTTGGTAACTCTCCGCAAACAATAGCTAAGATTTTTGAGATGAAGATTAATAAAATCAAAGCAAAATTCATGTTAGAAGAAAATTTTTTAAATGAGATGCAGTATTTTTGAATTCATAACAAGATTATCCCAAGCTTTCTATGTTGAATTAAGAATCATTTATTTATATAGTAGGAAACAATGTGTGATAAGTAAGTCTTGTGCTTCATTCATACTATCCACAAAAATGAACGCAGTAAAAAGTGTCGATGAATGCTACCTATCATTAGATGATAATATGCGGTAAAGTTAAAAACACCATATATTTTTGTTATGTCTTTTACAAGTAAAATGTAACATTTACCAGAATTTTGTATTGATTCATCCTTCAAGTTAGTATTTAGAATATAAATAATGAATTTATTCGGTAGCTAAGTAGCTGCAATTTGCTCCGTCTTATGGTAATTGGCAAAGTTCATTTTTAATTTGGTAGTTGACGTAATCTAGAAGACATGAAATTTTTCGAAATGGTTTTTCACTGATTAGTGTAATTTGAATTTAGATTTATTTTCCCTTTTATATAAAGTTATTGGTATTTGAGTTTGGTCGCATGTAAACGTAATTTAACTACATGTAAATGGGAGACTACTGCAATTCCTCGTCATTCAAATTCATCATTATCATCGTCATCAACTTATTCCTTATTAACAGTGATTTATGATATATGGCTTGTTAATGGTGAACCAAAATTACAGTCTTTCAATCAATTTGAACATCATTTCTCTTTTGAAACACATGGAATCGCACAAATGTTTTTTATATTTCTGTCACTCTATATTATTTTGAATATAACAACACATGTACGTTTTAACTGGCTGTTTATAATTTATCATTATGTTCAAATATTGTATTCAATTAGGTGTCGTTACATATTTAGAGAAAAAAACATTCGTTTAAGCTTTTTAAATATCCCTCGTAATATATGGTTAGTAACAATTCATTAAAAACTAGCAAATAATTTAAATAAAGTAAACTACTCTATGACTTGCTAGTATTGTTTGCTGGAAAGAAGTGAAGGAGCTATTTTTGAAATGTTTTAGTTGTTGTATATTATTATTGCGCAGTGTAGACATAGGTGTTTTTAAATGAGGGCGTTATCATCACATACTACGCCAATCAAAATATCAGCACAAGGGTTCTTTCAACACAAAATACCACAGCCAATCTTGTACTTGTACCTCAACTACCTAAAAAACAAAGGAAAACAAATGGTGTACCCTTTGCTCCAATCGACTTTGATACAGGAGAAAATGAGCAGGCAGTTCTAGAATTTTTTGGTGTCCTTGAGAACCAGTTTTCTAGAATGCAAGCGCCTTATTCAACGGTACGCGCACAGTTAAAAAATTCGAGGAGGAGATTATTAAGAATTAAAATTGTTGGCTGATGAAGATAAAAGTTATAGAAACAACGTCTATCTCAATCTAGAATTATTGGTACGAATACTCGGTTAGTGGTTTACGTCTGGCTCTAACTATATTCCTTTGTTTGAAGACATAACACTGTTGATTAAAAAAAACTTATAAAGTTCTGTTACATCGAGGTCGGTGCTTTGCAAGAAAACCATATTACTGAAGGCTTTTTACTTAAAAATTCGTGGTGGGGTTGTAGTTCACAGTTAAATATGATCTAACGTGACTATATCAAGATTTGCTCATTAGCGTTGCCCATTACTCAATTTGATTAAATTTTCTAATATATATTTGGATTTCATGCATCGAGAACCACGTATTCAGCACCGTCATAATAAGTGAATATCCCGATTTGATCCAATCTTCTGAATGCTAAATAACAATGCTGGGATGCTTGAAATGCACTTCTCATCCCCAAACACAAAACCCTTTTGTAATATATCAAAAGAAAAAGCATCTGTTAATCAAGATGCTCATTTTTTCTGCCGATTCGTATATGGCTATATTCCTTGATTCGTTCGTGGATATTGTTTTATTGACGATGTTAATAACACTTGTATTTTTTTTTCTACTGGCATCAGTTCTTTATTGATTACACTTACACTCAAAATAATTCCTAGTTTAACCGGTGATCTTTTTGTAGAATAATGTAGACGACTTATTATCGTTGTTCTGTTTTATTGTTATTAAGAAATTTTGTTTTTCTTGATGCAGATCAAACTGGCCAACAACCGTTCACTTCATGTTTGCCTCTACCTTACTCATCTTTGGTTGGCTAGTCTGGGAACACTGTTGGCTGCTGTTCACTGGGGTGTTTTTTCATTCGATGGTCTGGGACTAGGTCTGATTTCAGAGCTGGGAACAGTAATTACACAATGGGCAGACTCAGTGTTCCTAGCTGTCCTTCTGTGTACATGTCAAATGGGTTTCAGTCCTCAATGTCCGTCAATCGCATTCCAATCTTGTGATACTTCCAAAGCTCTTCGTCCACTAACCTCCAAAGTTTTTTCCACTTTACCAACCGGATTCCTCCATCTTGGTAAATTTAGTCATAAATTGTACAGTTACGATCCTATCCAAGAAAATATTTATGCTAGGCCATCAACTAATCAGGAAAAGTCCACATCATTTTGGCCATATGTAATTTTATTGGTTACTCTGTTGGTCGGAGTCAAAACTTTACTGTATATATGGGCTATGGTGAGTTTTTTCATTTTCTGCTACTGTCGATACTACTACTTTTAGTTCATACTTTTCCCTCAATGTTTGTATGTACTTGTGTGAAATGTATTGTTGTACTCATTGTAGCGCTAGAATTTGATATAAAGCTTGCGGCCGATATGACCCTGAAGCATAAGTATCACTGACCAATAGTCATATACGAGAGATGCCTTGAATACATGTCGGAAGTAGAATCTCAATGAATGTACATTTATTTTCTTGGAAAAAAACGACGATGGACGAAATGTTTGGATTTTGTTTGTGAAAGACTCAGACTATATTGATTGCTAATAACGATTACCTGTAATATTTCTACAGTTGTAATATAAACTTGGTGTTTATGAAGTTATTCACTAGTTATAATTTAAGTGTTTATCTTTATGATAACTATCAATCACCAATTGGAGAGTGAACAGTTTCTGGTCAATATTTGATGTAAAACAAAAATCTTAGGTGATTTTTTAAAGATTCAAGTAAATTGTCAATGTTTTGTAACTTATTACTTTGACCAGATTTCTGACTCTTCTGTTTGTCCAATGATTTAGACAAGCTTATCCCTTTTTAATCGACTTTATAACCGAGAAATCACTTCCGTGACAGCTAACTTCCCATTGCTCGCGAGCTTTTGAAGTGGTGGAGTAGAATTTCACTTTATCTGTTCTTTTTGTGCATATCAATTTAAGTGGTAGCTCATTTGTTGAAGTATTTGATTTTTAATCATTGGAATGGGGTAAAAAGATTCGGGCTTTAGCGCAGTTATTTTAGTTTGAGAAGTCCTTCAGTATTTCTGTCTGTCACACAAATTGTGACTTTAAACAGACACTCCCATCTGTAGTGGGTTGCTTAGTCACAAAAATAATGCATACAGAGTCTTCATTTTGATGATTTTAAACCAATTATCATTCTCTACCATCAGTTCCATAGTATTAACATAGGATCATAAGGATTAACATTGAATGGTCAACATTTTCCATTAAGTTCAGTTCGGAAAAAGTAAAAGAAATTTTATTGTAATTAGTTTTTGTGGAAATTTGGTAATTTTATGATCAAATTATTTAAAGGTTTAGTTATTATTACTATTATTCTGGAGAAACTTTTCATTTGTTATTCTCATTAACGAGACTTAATACAAGTTCTTTTTGTTCATTATGCAAGATCCTTTCTCTTATCAATAACTATTGTAGATGGCAACAACCAGTCAGGTAACTGCTATGGAATTTTGTTTATTGGAAGGTATTATTATGGGGATATTTTATTTCATGAGTTGAGTGATTTATTTGTAAAATTATCAGTTTCAACTTAAAGAACACCACTAATTTTTTATTGGGGAAAAAAACTTAAAGATTTCACCAGTGGTAGTTTAAAGTATGATTTATTGGTTTACAGTGGGTTTATCAACCTCATCGTAAATTACATATTTTGTAATCCGTAGTCGGGAATACTTTTGGTGAAATGGTTTAAATTCAATCGGAATACTATTCATTCTTCAACTTTTTCTAAATCTTGAGTTTTAATGCTAATCAATGCTTTCCTTTTTCCGATTCCAATCATTCTTCCCAAACTATATTTCCTATATTCCTAGTTTTTACTATGATTAAAATTGTTATTTTGACTTGTTTGCCTTTCATGTTGTCAATTGCTCTTGTCCTTTATACTGATTTGAAGAAAACTTATATTGACGAACATTCGCGGTTGGTCTCTTGTTATTACTTGACTTAATTGTGTTAACGTTGCTTAAAAACGGAGATGATTAATTGTTTCAACTGTGTATCCACTGGCTGTGCATAGAGTTAGTTCTCTTCGTAAATTCTTATTAGATTAAATAACTAAATAGATTACAAAAGATAGTACATTGAGGACAACTTATAGAATCATCACCGAGCAAATATATTCAACTCCATTTTAAGTCACTCTCTAATGATAAAATTATTGTGCAACGTTTCTTGTGACTAGACTTAATTCAATTAAAATTATTAAATTACTTGTAAGACATTCTCTGTAATGGTTCATTTTTTCTTATCTCTTTTAGTTTGATAGAGACCCTGTAATCGATTTTTCTGTTTGGAATACAGTACCTGGTTGCTTATTGTTAGCCTTAAGAATTTGCCTAGTGTTCTGGATATTGGTAGTTGTAGGACGCAGGCATTTTATAGCACAGATTTGTTCGGAGTCGTACAATATGGATTTATGTATCTTGGGGCCAAATATTAATACAATGCAATTTGCCGCTGGTTATCTCCTGTGGATTGTTATCTTACCGTTAGTAGTGTTTATCGGTGAGACTAGTGTATCTCCCTTGTGGCGTACAAAAACTATATCAAGTAAGTGTTCATCTGGAGAGTTGAATTTCGTAGTTGGTTAAGTCATTTGATCTTTGTTAGCTTTTGCTACCTTAACTTTTGACCATTCCCCCCCCACGCACTTCATTTTTACAATGTAGTATATATAATAAGCCGTTGTATGGTAAGTTTGATGATAAGCTAAGTAAATGAACTTTGTTGTTGAGTTAAAAGTATCGACTTTTAACAAACGCAACACTATTTTTGAAATAATACACAAATCCTATGCTACATCTTTTTTATATCTTTGAATGTAATGTTATCAATATACATTAAAAATCGGCTCACTAATGTTAATACTCAGTTCTAAGGTGCCAACCGAAAGTCGGTTCACTTGACTCTATTTAACTTGGAGGTTAGTTTCAATGATGTCTTCAATTGTTATATATTGTAGCTTAGGATAGAAACCTTCATATGGGTACTAAATAATAATTACTCAGTTTTTCGTACTGCATTGAAGAGAGTTGTCCTGTTCACTCAATTAATACGGTTTCCCTGTGGCAGGCGTTAAAAAATAAACTTGGTGCTAAATTTGACACTACCTTCGTGAACTGTTGATATCTTAAGGTTTAGTTTCTCAGAAATCACCTAGTCTATTGTGAACATAGGAAGTGAAAATAACAAATTCTTAGAAAGATACTCGAATACCATAAGAGGTAATCTCTCAAATTGTCAAGTAAACAGTAATGTATATGCGTATTTGTTTTATTATTTGTGAGAAGTTAGTTAGCTAGCTCAAGTGGCTAGTTTTATTGACTGTATCTGATTACTTATTGAAATTTCTATATTAATGTAATCAGTTGAGTCCCTTACAACACTTATGTCCACTCATAAGTCACTAGTTTGTGTCACTGGCACAGTGTGAGTATATTTATTTACAAGAAATCACTGAATAATATATTACAAATAATATACTGTAAACAGCAGTCATAAGTAACGTAGAACTTACTGGATGTGTACATCAGTTCAAGTTGCCACATATCAGCACAGTGAAATGTAATTATCAAAACAAATGCCTAGACAGCTGATACTGTATAAATGTACGCAGTAACTTCTCAGAAAAAGTCATCAAAGTTCAATCCATTAAAAAATCTTAGTGAGAGTTTGATCTATTAGTTGTTAACTTTTGTCAAATAATAAAACAGTTAAAAGTACACTACGAAATCCTATAATCACTGACCACTCCATTTTGAAATTTCAACCTTGCAGTTCAAACAATTAAAAATGACAATATTTATAATGGTTGTGTGAGCTTAAAATGAGATATATGTAGTTTGAGTTAAGTGGGAAAATGGTAGTTAACTTGATGATGTTTCAAAGAAATTCTCGATCTTAAACATTACGATCTATTTCTAAAGATTTATTTGTTCATCGTTATCTAGGTGAACATATTTATTATAATACTGTTGAATGTAATTCCTTATTATGATTGACTTTATTGAACTGAATACGTTTTTGGATTATCTTATTTCTTAGAAGTATTTTTTGTTGTTGTCATATTTCAACATTAAGTGACATGAACATGAAAAAATTACACTATTGATTAGTTTGAACTCATCTGATTTTTTTTTAAATAAAGATTTTTAATGTTTCATAACATGACACTATTGGTTTGTATGGATTTTGTATTTAACAATTTATTAAATTGTCAAGTACCTATTTCTTCCATTATTGTTCATCTAACTAAATATCCATTGAATATTATTTGTTTATTTGCCCGCAAATGCCCTGGTATGGCCGAGATTGGGGTGGGCCCTCCCCCCTCTCGTAATGCTTTCACACGGCCATGCGTATACAGTCTCTGCCAGGGAAGTCATACTCACTGCCTTCTCGTGGCGGGGGTGTTGTTTACGAAAATGAGAGGACGGAAAGCGAATATCCGGCGCTTTAACCGGATCCCGAACCAATGGTGCACATGGGCTCCAGTATCTTGGAGGAACAAATGGCGTATGAACCTTTTGTTGGTCACTGGCTACCATGGGACTGCATCTCCTGACGTTGCTCCACTGCCTTGTGGATCACACCTTTAGGTCAAAAGCTCCGGGTGTGGCCCCCTAAGAGCACCACCTGCTTCGGTCTGGGCACCCGGGCAGTATCACTACCCACACGCACACACACACAAATATGGTGTTGCGCATATGTATTGGTTGCCCTCTTGTACTAATATTTATGTGTCCAAATAAATAAATAAAATAATTTGTTTGTTTATTATTAGACATGTGAACAATCCTTGAAACTACAATTGACTTTAGTGAACTTTTATCTTTGTGAGATAAAAGTTTAATTAGCCAATTTGATTTCATAACCATGAGATCGCCATTATTAATCTTTAATATGTATTATGGTTACATAGTGAACTAGCTAGAATATGTATGTATTATTATAAGCAGTATCTGAACGTAGATTAACATTGAATATTCTTTAGATCTTTTTGAAAAATGTGTAATTTTCAGTTAAATTTTGAGGGGTGAATTTTATGAATAACAATTTACTGATGTTGATGTGCTAGAGACTATTAAAGAGCCAATGAATCGGTAGTTTCTAAGTGTAATCAACTTCTTTATGGCAACTTAATGGGTTATGATCACTTGACATACAAACTTATTTTAGTTACATTGTTATAATTTCGCATGTACTTTGGGAATATATACATCGTATGTGGATCTTTAGATTAATAATAACGTTGATTATTTCCTACTTTTAGTTCAATAGGGAACATCCAAACATTTCTTATTGTTTCATTTTGTTCCATTGTAGTAATATGCTTCTCTACTGATTATGTTGCGGCTGTTGCGTACGCTTGTCTTTTATGGCGTTCGAAGTAAGTTTTTGAGATCTTTAATTGATTATTTTCCTTAATCATGTGTAATATTTAATCTTCAATTTATTTTACTCGGTTTTACTATTGCCATCGAAAAGTTTCTTACTGTCTTTGGTATAATTTAGTAGAGATAGGTAAATTGACAATTTTGGTCGACTCAAATAGTTTATTGTTTTACTGAACGAAATTTTTAATGAACAACTTTAAATATACTTATTGTATTTTGTTAAAACTAGCTAATGATACTAATTAACAAATTCCTTGAAATTGTAAGTTATTGAAAAATGAGTATATTCAAGTTTTCAAGATAAATTTACCAATTGTTTTTTTCAACTATTCAGAGTAATATAATAATAGAATGGCTCCTCCCGGGACCCTTCTGGAATTACTACCGGTCCCAACTCAAGTGAAGGAGGGTTGGGTGTAAGATTAGCAATCGTATTTGGTAAGAGAGGACGTTGCTCAAAAAACATCAACCAGAAATGGTCATTTAAACCATTTACTCTGCACTGGGATTTGCAAGGTCTTCATATAAAAACGTTATGACATCTAATGATGAAAGCTGTGACTCTTCGAAAGCTATAAGGCTTATCCCTCTTCTAACAATCAAAATAGGAGTTAATATAGGTACATAGAATGTCCGGAAAATGTAGCAGACTCGAAAGATCATTCAAATGGTGACAGAAGTGTGATGACAAAACCGGGATCTACTTTAAGTACGTGAAGTCTATTGAACACAATTTGTACAGAGATTAGCTTCGGGAGACGAGGTGCTATTGTATACTGGTCATGAGGAAAAAAATACTACCACACAAGGAGTTGGTCTGGTGGTGTTCAAAGAAGTACGAAAAGGACTTATAGAATAGGAATCACATGGCTGAAAGATCAAAGCATCTACCCTGTAAAACAAAGAAGGAAGGGTTTAGAGTGAATGTCATTCAGTGCTATGCACCCAAGAATAATAGCAACAAAGAGGCTGCACTGCATCTGAGAGGACTGTCCAGGAAAATACCAGCCCATCGTGATAGAGAACCTAGACTCCAAGGTCAGAATAGATAATACCGGGTATGAAGCCTTGATGGTGTGACATAAACTGTTTGAAAGGAACGGAATGGCGAAAAATTGGAACATCTTTGCTTTCAATAACATACCTATAGGTGGTAACATTTTCCCCACAAACGCATGTAAAACGCCACAGGGATGTCACTAAACCACAGTACAGAAAACCAGAGCGATTGCATTTGCATCAATTAAAAATTCAGGTTCATGGAATGCGTAAGAATAAAGAGACGAACGTATATAGCTTCTTATCACCACCTCGTTGTGGCCGAGCTAAGCCTGAAGTTAAAGAAGCATTGGATAATTGTCAAAGAGCACTACGAAGTCAAATATAGCCTCCTTTCGAGGTGCTAACATACTCAGTGAATTCAAAATAACTCTCAGTAACAAGTTCCAGGCCTTACAAATCTACTAGAAGATGAACAAACCACTGTGGAGGACAACTGTAAAGGAAATAAAGAAGCAATAACTTTGATATGTAAGGGGGTGCTAGGCATCAAGAATTACCAACATAAATATTTGATTTCCATTGACACTCTGACCAAGATTCAAGATAAGAAGTAGTAGGCTGCATTCAGCAACAACCGCACAACAACAGGGGCGGTCAAGCCTCAGGCTAGATGCACTGAAGCAAACAAACAAAAGAGAAGCATTAAGTATGAAAAGAGTAAGTATGTAGAAGACCTATCAATGACACTAGAAAAAGCTGTAAGAGAAGGAAATATGGGACAACTATATGATACAATGAAGAGGCTATTCGAAAAATATAGTAAACCAAAGTAACCTATCAAGGACAAAGAAAACAGACCAATCACTGAGATCCAAACACAGCGGAACAGATGGGTAGGTCACTTTGAAGAACTCTTGAATAGGCCAGTCCCACTGAACATCGAAGCAGCACACGCAGACCTTCCTATAGATGTTATCTTACCAGCAACCAAAAAAATCAGCGTAACCATCGGACAGATCGAAAGGGGGAGAGCATCAGGACTGAACAACATACTGACTAAAACACTAATGCCAGACATAGAGGTAATTGTATTAATGTTCCGTGCTCTCTTCAGGAAGATTTGAGAGGAAGAACCAGTGATTGTATAGAAACTTGATCATTTATCTTCGGTGTTAGACCCAGTTCATCTACATTTTTAAGGGTAATACAATACAATTTCATTTAAGTGGTTAACAATATATTCAGGTTATGTTTGTAAACTTGAGAAACTTGGTCGTTCCAATAAAGTCAGTAATTTAAAATGACTGTTTCTATTCGTGTATATCATATTCGAAGTATATTCCTCGTATATTTCTTTTTCTTCCTTTTTTTCTCAAAGCTCACTTTTGGATGAAAACGTGTTGGGTCATCGTTGCTCAATGTAACTTTATTCTTCCCTTCCTTTCTGCTTTCCTACCCTCTCCTCTCTGTTTGGATCCTGCAAATCATTTTGATGTTTATTATATTCTACACTGTTATTATTATTATTGCCTTTTTATTTTCAGTCTATCTGTTAAATTTGTGCATTATCAACAGATCTATATAGATGCTTCAGAAATATGATTTTTTAAGCGTTGTTTTTTGTATTGATACCATGTGGATTATATTCATTATTTGCTATTTTGGAATTTCAAGATGTATGTTCATTGTTTTCTTCATTCTTTATTTCCATGTTCACATTAGTGGATTGTCAATCCTTTTTTTTTTCCTCAGTGTTTTTTGTTATTTATATATTTGCTCACAATTAATTTTGTGACTGATGATTGCATAACAGATAAGTGGATTTTGGTCTCCTCACTTTATGTACTATTTAACTATGACAGTGGTGATATGACTTAACTTTAAATATAATGTACATTTTTAAAAATTTCGGTAAACAGTTCACAATACACGTAATATATTATTACTTTGTACATTTTCGGATTATAGTTTATTTATTAAATTGTATTCATTTGCAATAGTGTATTCAACTGATGGAGAAGCAGTTTATTTAGTACAATTATTATCATATGTGCTTCATAGGGAAAGGCACATTATACAAATGTATTCTCCATAGTAGGCTGTTTTTTTTTAAAGAGTTAACCACCGTTTAACCAATGGAAATATACTAACATTTAGTATAATTTATTTCCCGGTCATATAAACGAAAAGTGGTGTACAAGTAATACGTTTTTAAAGCTAATTTTATCCAACATATCGACTGTTCTTATTACATTACTCAGGTTTCCAAAACTAGTCAGAAACTGACTAATAAAAGCGAACAAAGCAGCTTGCTTTTAAGTTATGAATGTACTAGTCTTAAATAAGTTGATTATTTAGGGGTATATCATTCTGTTTTATCGCTTCATAGTACAGACAGATCTAATTTTGTTGGTCAGTTTAGAGTCCCTTAAAATAACATAATCCGTCTTGACTTCAGACACACTTTATTAAATGGTACTGATTAGCGCGAAACCTAGTTTTCGGAGTTCCTGTTGATTGCTTCCAGCCACCTAGGGTAATCAGGGTTTTGTTTTGATGGCATACTTAAATACCACTATGTGTTCATAAGATGTTAAGGTAATTAATAATGAAATGGGTTAAATATAATAGGAAATACATTAAAAAAATCATAAAAATAAAGAATCTGTTAATTACAGAGGGGAAGGGGTTTGACGATCAAGCAAAAATAGGTCTATAAGGTATGATTGCAATAAATTGATCAAATGGTGATCGGATAGAGGGTATTCAATATTGACTATATGGTTTCTTAGCTGGGGTGGATTTCTATGATCTGACTACATATCGTTTAGTAGTTGACCGATGGATTACGGATTGTTTACGGAAGTTGTTTTTATTATCTGTGCTTTAAGAAACAATACGGTGTTTATGTGATTTCATAAATGTTTCTCCTACCAAGTTTGTCACGTTCTTCGACAATAATGATCTAGTGTCGCGAAGCTTAGCGTTTTAAGAAATCATACTTGACAAGAAGTCATCAGGCGACCAGACTAAAGTATGTGGTTTTAGATTTTAAAAAAATAATATCCCCCACTCAACTGAGGTCCAAAAATGTATTTTAATTAATGTTTAGATAGATGTAATAACTCACAAGAGAAATTAATAAGAATAATTTCAAATGCATGGAATCTGAAAAGCTAACGTGATGAATACTACCAATCTGCTGTGCATTAGTCAGTGTCGAATAAGGAGATATAGTGAGGACTAAGGAATTATAATTTATTTCTCTGACAAATCTGTAAACAGTAAGGAAATTATCCAATTATCAATCAACAAGGAAAACAAATATACATTGTCAATAGTAATGGTGATTATTCCAACTCCTATAAGTCAATAGTTGTACTTATCAATCGAATGTAGTCGGAATAAGAATGGTTATTATTTAAATAAAAGAAATATTTTAGACATACATATGCGCGATAAACTGTAAAGACGCCTATACTCAAACACAACATCACTTGTCCTACGTTATGACTTACAGTTATCTGCCGACTGTAATAACATTTTTAAAATATCGTAGTAGTCATGACTTACTCATTATTTTATTTGTCACAATTCTGTAATCCAACAATCAATTGTTAGTCACCATAATCTTAGATATATTATAACCCATCGTAATGGACAGTTCAGTATCGAAATTGTTCTCCATTCGACAAAATAATATTTTCATGTCAGCACATGAATTCAAATAATTAGTGAATAGAAAAATCGTTTTCAATGTCTGGCGTGTTCGTTGCCAAGTAATTTAATACCGATAAAACATGTTTACAGTAAGACTTGTACAAATTAACTACGGTACGTTTCTCTTAATAAGTTGAAGTTGGACTAAAACAAACGAGATTATTTAAATTTTATTCTAAGTGCTTTACGTCGAAAAAATTATTAATTCCTTTGATTAAAATTCATTCTTTATAAACTGATGAGTTGTTAGATCATCTAATACTGCAACCCAGTTCATTACTTTAATGGTTGAGTATGAAGTTGGTACTAAACTAACTGTTATAGGTATCAATGTCAGGCTTGAATTTGATAGTCTCAAAGAAATTTATATTTATTATAAACTAACTATTATTTTCTCTTGCTAGATAAGTTGTAACTCAGACTCTCCGTCAAAAGTCTCTGGTTTCGAACTTGAGAAATTGGGAAGATTTATATTATGAATGTATGTCTATTTGCTAATAAATCCCTGTATGTAATTGTGGTTAGTTAGTTAGTTAAAGGATAATATTTTCAGTTATTAAGTTTTAGGCTAGAACTACATCAATGAAATTGTCAATGAATAATTTAACTAACCATCATCCAACATTATAACTCATTGTTGATTATGTAAATATTTAAATGATATTACTCAGTTCTATTACTCTAATGTTGGAAAACTTAAAGATATTAAGATCTTCTATAAAAAACTAGGACTATTAGACAGCGTGGATTAGTTAAACGTCATCACTGAAATTTTTTTCGAAATAGAACCTATAATTGATGTCTGCAGAATTTCTGAACTCATCTGACAATTTATATTGAGCAGATTACATGCTCGGTGCCTGGCCAATAACTACAATCACTTATTGGAGATATAGTGTGGCTTATCTTAAGTTTGAATGCAGTCGAACAGGAGCGTTTACTTTTTATTTCTTCCTGGGTTTTGAGTTTTAGTATTATCAGATACATTCTTTCTTTTTTCACCGTATACTCGATTCGTAGTCATATTTACTGTTATTAGTATAAAGATCATCTCGATTTTTGTGGGATTCATTTCGTAAATTTTATCTCATCATGCTCGTTCGTTATAGGAACTTAGGTTGATTAATAGTTTTACCGAACTACATGCTGATTATAGCTACTAAAATAATCTTGGGAACAATATTTGAAAGCTCGTTTCGTGTCATTATAAAAGAATGAGTTGTTTAGTTTGTGTGCTTAAAAAATTGAATGAAGGAGCTCCAGCGTAAAGGTAGCCTAGCAGATGTTCTCGTTAAAGATGCCACAGATATTTGGAGTTTGACAATGCCTAACCCGTAACACCTTTTATAATCGAAATGTGCCAATCCAGTCAAATCAAAAGTCAGAAGCGAAGAGGTTCGAAGATATATTTAATAGGCTGGCTAGCGGTCGTAGATGTGTAGCATGGTGTACCCACTCGTGATATGGTGCGGATGCATGACCAAACGGATTCAGTTAGGTGAGTCCATTAAAACTAATGCGGCCAGTGTCAAATGTCAAAGACTTGCATAGTTATTGATTTTGTGGACTTGTTAACCGCTACATCGTAATCACTTACGATAGCTCAGTCGGTTTGATCAAATTCTGAAATAATTCGAGATGGTTTTACCTATAGTTTGCTGTCAAAAGACAGGACCACTGGCTGACTACGTGTGTGAATATCGTTCAGGAAATTAAGCTTTATTTGACGAACTCATTAAAGCAAAACTCAGTAGACAGTTTAAGAAAGTTTTGCTTATTTTTGTTTTTTATTGTAGTAAACTTAAAACCAGTTCTTTTCCTCTGAAAAGTATGTCTTAGCCATGTTGAAACCTAGATAGTCTTTAAATATTTTGAATCCAAATATTTCCAGACAAGTGTAGAGCTAGACAATCGCTAATTCCTAAAATAAAGAACTCAGTGTTTACCGTACATCAATTATGATAGAAATAATCAGTTTCTTAACTACCCATCATTTAATAGGGTGGTTCTGTGTTTAAAGTAGTCAAATTTTGACCAGCAGGTTACAGGATAGATCTGTAGTGACTCACATTTATCACGAGAACACGACTGGTTTAATAAAAACAATTATTATTATAACCAAGTGTACCAGTGTTTGTTTTAATGTGCTTTTGTTTAACTGTGCTAATTGTAGCCATTTTGTGCTTCCATTACCTTCCATTATTGTTCCGCGGTTTTTGGTACTGCTCGCACGTACTCCCGTTTCTGCTTTCACTTGTACCATTCCTTGGCACGATCTCGGTATTCGTTCAATACCACGAGATCGCCAACGAAATAAATCTGGTTACGATCGATCCTCGCCTTCTGATTTGTCTGGCACGTGTTTCTGGGTAGCGGTGTTCACAGTTAATCACAACTCGACGCCACGCTACAATTGGTAATCCCAATTCGACTACATTTGGTGACCCGTATTTTGGAACACGCCTCAGCTTCTGATCAAATCTTCCAAAGAAGCCAATTCGGTGAGTCTATGATTTATCTATCCACGTCTGTCGTATATTTTCATATTTCTTAATATTTAATATACGCGACATGACGGATAACGATAAGAATAGTATTAATATAATAGACTTACACGTATATGTACCGAATCCTTGTCACTTTTTATTCGCGTGATGATGAATTCCACGCTTTATTCGAGAAATGTTACCCTATTAACGATTCTCCTCGCTGACCCGGCTGCTTGGTACGGAATGCATATGCATAAGCATATCCGTCTACCACCCAGCACCAAATGGTTAAGTTGAACAGTTTCACTGCCAAATAAAAGTGTTCTACGAGCACACGAAAATGGCAACTGGCACGAAATCTTACCGCTCGTTCTTTTAGGGGGGGAGAACGAGCTTAAAGGCAGATATCCAATGTTCCGCCACTGAACTTGTATACGGCACGACATTGCGTCTGCCCGGAGAATCCTTCACACCACGGAGCAGACCTAATTTCGGTAAATCAGACAACGTCCGTCGACTGTCTGCATTTATGTGAACGCTGTCTCCGGTGTCAACTCGAATACAACATCGACAGGTCGCTCTCCCTCGAGAGTTATCTACCTGTTCACATGTTTTCATACGAGTAGATTCGGTACGCAAACCTTTGCAACAACCTTACGAAGGCCCTTTTCGCGTGATCGCTCGTCACGAAAAGACCTTCAAGGTTGATCGACACGGCCGCGTCGAGATCGTCAGCATTGATCGTCTCAAACCAGCACACGTCGATGACAGTGCCCTATCTGATAACCTGAGATTCAATGCTAGACCAAGTAAACCTACTAGCGGGATCCTCAAACCATCTTCAGGTCCCACGCTAGATACAACTGAGACCTCACTCTCACGTCCCAGTCAACAGCACGCGTCATCTGCACCGTCTACGGACGAGACGACAGTCTCACGTCCAGATCAGCAGAACACGCCGCCCTTGACTTCGGATGAGATTGCAGGCTCACGCGACGCGAACGAGACTATCGTCTCACGTTCCGGTCGCCGAGTACGGTTACCCGTACGCTTCCTCGATTAGTCGCACAGTCGACAACCGATACGGTGTAGGAATATTCCTATGCTACTTGCATGCTACACTCTTCTTTTTTGATTTTCTTTTTGTTTCCTGAGCCCACGCCTTCGACCATCTCCGTTTGGTTCCGTCGACTTCAGTCAACTTTGGCGAAAGCTGGCCTGATCACCCACGCTCTTGTCAACGTACTCAGTCGATATATTGGTTTCGAATGCTTGGCATACGCTTGGTCTCGAACTTGGTCGTTACGGTCGCTTCTGGTCTTTTGGCTCAACGTGGTTTCGTCCTACGTCTGCAGCGTTTCTGGTGCGCACCTCTACGAACGCCCTCTTCAGATTCTGGATACAAACCACTCTGGTGTAGCATGCCAACTCGAGCAATCAATACAACACATCGCTCCTGGTACTGTTCTCCGAAAACGACCTTCGTTGGCAACTCGACGATCAACGATCGCTTTCCTGTTCGCCAATCTTTCCGTCCTACAATCGCTCGTCAGCCGATCAGTCCCACGATTCAAACCGCTATTTATCGAAAGTGTAAACCCTTTCTAGCGGGGGGCTCCTGTAGTGACTCACATTTATCACGAGAACACGACTGGTTTAATAAAAACAATTATTATTATAACCAAGTGTACCAGTGTTTGTTTTAATGTGCTTTTGTTTAACTGTGCTAATTGTAGCCATTTTGTGCTTCCATTACCTTCCATTATTGTTCCGCGGTTTTTGGTACTGCTCGCACGTACTCCCGTTTCTGCTTTCACTTGTACCATTCCTTGGCACGATCTCGGTATTCGTTCAATACCACGAGATCGCCAACGAAATAAATCTGGTTACGATCGATCCTCGCCTTCTGATTTGTCTGGCACGTGTTTCTGGGTAGCGGTGTTCACAGTTAATCACAACTCGACGCCACGCTACAATTGGTAATCCCAATACGAATACAATTGGTAATCCCAATTCGACTACATTTGGTGACCCGTATTTTGGAACACGCCTCAGCTTCTGATCAAATCTTCCAAAGAAGCCAATTCGGTGAGTCTATGATTTATCTATCCACGTCTGTCGTATATTTTCATATTTCTTAATATTTAATATACGCGACATGACGGATAACGATAAGAATAGTATTAATATAATAGACTTACACGTATATGTACCGAATCCTTGTCACTTTTTATTCGCGTGATGATGAATTCCACGCTTTATTCGAGAAATGTTACCCTATTAACGATTCTCCTCGCTGACCCGGCTGCTTGGTACGGAATGCATATGCATAAGCATATCCGTCTACCACCCAGCACCAAATGGTTAAGTTGAACAGTTTCACTGCCAAATAAAAGTGTTCTACGAGCACACGAAAATGGCAACTGGCACGAAATCTTACCGCTCGTTCTTTTAGGGGGGGAGAACGAGCTTAAAGGCAGATATCCAATGTTCCGCCACTGAACTTGTATACGGCACGACATTGCGTCTGCCCGGAGAATCCTTCACACCACGGAGCAGACCTAATTTCGGTAAATCAGACAACGTCCGTCGACTGTCTGCATTTATGTGAACGCTGTCTCCGGTGTCAACTCGAATACAACATCGACAGGTCGCTCTCCCTCGAGAGTTATCTACCTGTTCACATGTTTTCATACGAGTAGATTCGGTACGCAAACCTTTGCAACAACCTTACGAAGGCCCTTTTCGCGTGATCGCTCGTCACGAAAAGACCTTCAAGGTTGATCGACACGGCCGCGTCGAGATCGTCAGCATTGATCGTCTCAAACCAGCACACGTCGATGACAGTGCCCTATCTGATAACCTGAGATTCAATGCTAGACCAAGTAAACCTACTAGCGGGATCCTCAAACCATCTTCAGGTCCCACGCTAGATACAACTGAGACCTCACTCTCACGTCCCAGTCAACAGCACGCGTCATCTGCACCGTCTACGGACGAGACGACAGTCTCACGTCCAGATCAGCAGAACACGCCGCCCTTGACTTCGGATGAGATTGCAGGCTCACGCGACGCGAACGAGACTATCGTCTCACGTTCCGGTCGCCGAGTACGGTTACCCGTACGCTTCCTCGATTAGTCGCACAGTCGACAACCGATACGGTGTAGGAATATTCCTATGCTACTTGCATGCTACACTCTTCTTTTTTGATTTTCTTTTTGTTTCCTGAGCCCACGCCTTCGACCATCTCCGTTTGGTTCCGTCGACTTCAGTCAACTTTGGCGAAAGCTGGCCTGATCACCCACGCTCTTGTCAACGTACTCAGTCGATATATTGGTTTCGAATGCTTGGCATACGCTTGGTCTCGAACTTGGTCGTTACGGTCGCTTCTGGTCTTTTGGCTCAACGTGGTTTCGTCCTACGTCTGCAGCGTTTCTGGTGCGCACCTCTACGAACGCCCTCTTCAGATTCTGGATACAAACCACTCTGGTGTAGCATGCCAACTCGAGCAATCAATACAACACATCGCTCCTGGTACTGTTCTCCGAAAACGACCTTCGTTGGCAACTCGACGATCAACGATCGCTTTCCTGTTCGCCAATCTTTCCGTCCTACAATCGCTCGTCAGCCGATCAGTCCCACGATTCAAACCGCTATTTATCGAAAGTGTAAACCCTTTCTAGCGGGGGGCTCCTGTAGTGACTCACATTTATCACGAGAACACGACTGGTTTAATAAAAACAATTATTATTATAACCAAGTGTACCAGTGTTTGTTTTAATGTGCTTTTGTTTAACTGTGCTAATTGTAGCCATTTTGTGCTTCCATTACCTTCCATTATTGTTCCGCGGTTTTTGGTACTGCTCGCACGTACTCCCGTTTCTGCTTTCACTTGTACCATTCCTTGGCACGATCTCGGTATTCGTTCAATACCACGAGATCGCCAACGAAATAAATCTGGTTACGATCGATCCTCGCCTTCTGATTTGTCTGGCACGTGTTTCTGGGTAGCGGTGTTCACAGTTAATCACAACTCGACGCCACGCTACAATTGGTAATCCCAATACGAATACAATTGGTAATCCCAATTCGACTACATTTGGTGACCCGTATTTTGGAACACGCCTCAGCTTCTGATCAAATCTTCCAAAGAAGCCAATTCGGTGAGTCTATGATTTATCTATCCACGTCTGTCGTATATTTTCATATTTCTTAATATTTAATATACGCGACATGACGGATAACGATAAGAATAGTATTAATATAATAGACTTACACGTATATGTACCGAATCCTTGTCACTTTTTATTCGCGTGATGATGAATTCCACGCTTTATTCGAGAAATGTTACCCTATTAACGATTCTCCTCGCTGACCCGGCTGCTTGGTACGGAATGCATATGCATAAGCATATCCGTCTACCACCCAGCACCAAATGGTTAAGTTGAACAGTTTCACTGCCAAATTAAAAGTGTTCTACGAGCACACGAAAATGGCAACTGGCACGAAATCTTACCGCTCGTTCTTTTAGGGGGGGAGAACGAGCTTAAAGGCAGATATCCAATGTTCCGCCACTGAACTTGTATACGGCACGACATTGCGTCTGCCCGGAGAATCCTTCACACCACGGAGCAGACCTAATTTCGGTAAATCAGACAACGTCCGTCGACTGTCTGCATTTATGTGAACGCTGTCTCCGGTGTCAACTCGAATACAACATCGACAGGTCGCTCTCCCTCGAGAGTTATCTACCTGTTCACATGTTTTCATACGAGTAGATTCGGTACGCAAACCTTTGCAACAACCTTACGAAGGCCCTTTTCGCGTGATCGCTCGTCACGAAAAGACCTTCAAGGTTGATCGACACGGCCGCGTCGAGATCGTCAGCATTGATCGTCTCAAACCAGCACACGTCGATGACAGTGCCCTATCTGATAACCTGAGATTCAATGCTAGACCAAGTAAACCTACTAGCGGGATCCTCAAACCATCTTCAGGTCCCACGCTAGATACAACTGAGACCTCACTCTCACGTCCCAGTCAACAGCACGCGTCATCTGCACCGTCTACGGACGAGACGACAGTCTCACGTCCAGATCAGCAGAACACGCCGCCCTTGACTTCGGATGAGATTGCAGGCTCACGCGACGCGAACGAGACTATCGTCTCACGTTCCGGTCGCCGAGTACGGTTACCCGTACGCTTCCTCGATTAGTCGCACAGTCGACAACCGATACGGTGTAGGAATATTCCTATGCTACTTGCATGCTACACTCTTCTTTTTTGATTTTCTTTTTGTTTCCTGAGCCCACGCCTTCGACCATCTCCGTTTGGTTCCGTCGACTTCAGTCAACTTTGGCGAAAGCTGGCCTGATCACCCACGCTCTTGTCAACGTACTCAGTCGATATATTGGTTTCGAATGCTTGGCATACGCTTGGTCTCGAACTTGGTCGTTACGGTCGCTTCTGGTCTTTTGGCTCAACGTGGTTTCGTCCTACGTCTGCAGCGTTTCTGGTGCGCACCTCTACGAACGCCCTCTTCAGATTCTGGATACAAACCACTCTGGTGTAGCATGCCAACTCGAGCAATCAATACAACACATCGCTCCTGGTACTGTTCTCCGAAAACGACCTTCGTTGGCAACTCGACGATCAACGATCGCTTTCCTGTTCGCCAATCTTTCCGTCCTACAATCGCTCGTCAGCCGATCAGTCCCACGATTCAAACCGCTATTTATCGAAAGTGTAAACCCTTTCTAGCGGGGGGCTCCTGTAGTGACTCACATTTATCACGAGAACACGACTGGTTTAATAAAAACAATTATTATTATAACCAAGTGTACCAGTGTTTGTTTTAATGTGCTTTTGTTTAACTGTGCTAATTGTAGCCATTTTGTGCTTCCATTACCTTCCATTATTGTTCCGCGGTTTTTGGTACTGCTCGCACGTACTCCCGTTTCTGCTTTCACTTGTACCATTCCTTGGCACGATCTCGGTATTCGTTCAATACCACGAGATCGCCAACGAAATAAATCTGGTTACGATCGATCCTCGCCTTCTGATTTGTCTGGCACGTGTTTCTGGGTAGCGGTGTTCACAGTTAATCACAACTCGACGCCACGCTACAGATCATAACTCCATTTCATTTTGGAAAGTTGGGTATCATCGGCCCTAAAATAAATATTTGACTCTAACTCCGGCACCTAAGCCTATAATTGGTGAATGATTTAAACACTAAGTTTAATAAGTGTTCGGGACTTATTTTTCAACAGGTTGAACTATAGATGTTTTTTGAACTATGAAATAACATTTTCTGCTTTTTAAAGAACCAATAAACTAATCACTACAAAGTAAAAAGAATACCACATAAATACACTTGTCTAAACCATTCGAAAGATTATTTTATTTCACTAGTATTTACTAGTTTACGCTAAACACTTGGGGGCTACATTCTTTATACCATTATGTTTTTGTTTTTTGTACATTTTGTTACCTGTCACTGGCTTTCATCACATCTTCAATCATAAATGTGGTAATTAGAGATTTGGATGTCATACTGGAATATAACTTTATTCAATGAATGGTGCTTTTAAGGCATAAAATGCATCAATGTTTGTGATGATTGATTAAAAGTACAATATCAATATATTAGTGGATATACTGAGGTTTAGAAGATGGGTACTTTTTCCGTTATTGAGTAGGCTTATAATAGATGTCCTGTGTGATGTCACAACAGAATAAACTAATTTCTCTACTTTTGTGCCTAGGGGCATTATGAAGATGGGATGAACTTAGAAAGTGCAGTTTACCAAACTTAAAAAATGTTTGACGTTTGATGATGGTTTTAATATAGAGTTAAGATTATTCATTTGCTCATATTAGTTAAGATGATTA